TATTGGCGCGACGTGTCGATGTTTTGGGAGTCCTTGATGAATTGCTTTGCGACTGGTGGAAATTGGATGACCTTGAAGGCATCATGCATTGAGTCAGGTTTGGACAGAGTCTTGGCTGGGCGCTTGAGCGAGTTGCGAAGTGCTCTTGAAGATCTTGGCCTTGCCTCTGCAAGGGTCAACGCCGCAAATAATGAACTGGAAGTCTTGAGTCGCACTCTTTTGACGCTCCTTAGCAAAGCGCAGTTCCCAGACCTTTGGACAAAGTCACCTCCGAAACCCAAGCCATCTCAAGAAAAACAGTCTTCAAGTTACCCGTCACAGCGGCTGCAGCCTCAAGTTTTGCAGCAACGTCCAAAAACAGACCAGCCACGACAGCACCAACAGCAACGGCACCAACAGTTGCTAAAGCAAGAGCAGCAAAAGCAGCAAATGCATCCGCAGCAGCCGCAGCCGCATTGTCATTTCCATCTGCACGAGAACCGTAGCAATGCGGCATGTGGAGAGGGGCCCTTGGGTCCTGGATTCAACGAAGGCTGCGCAGGCATCCGAACTGCAAGGCATTCCTTTGCTGTTGAGTCAACCATCAGCGCCCAGCCGCTGAGAAGAAGATCTGGCTCTCCTCATGCCTCGAGGAGTGCGCCATTGCCAATACAAAGGCCCTCTTTTGATCCAGCTCGGCAAAGCCCTGAGGTGGCCTGTGCTACATCGAATGGCTTTGTCAGGTCTCCGCCCATAGCAATGATGAGCGGATTGTGGGGTGGCGGAGCAGCAGTGGTTCCGCCAAAATGACAAGCAGCTTGGCACGTTTGTCTTTTTTGGCTCCTCCAACCTTATCGACGTTGAATTTGAGTATATAGTGTGTATAGACCAGAGACAGTCTGGTGACCTGGTAGCCTGCAAGCTTCGAATTTCAGCAAGTCCCTGCTACAACAACTGCGAGCAGGCAGCCCCAAGATGAGGCACAATCGGCCTCCGGCCGGTATGAGTGTTGCCCAAATCAATACCGAGCAAGTTCAGATGCTGCAAAGTCTTGAATTGAAAAGGTGTCGGTGTTGCTGCATGTGTATGCAGTGACCTTTTGGTCAAAAACTTGAACAGGTCCCCCAAACATGGTTGGGGCCGACCACGTTGTTGACATGTTCCTCCAACACCCTCAAAACTCAGGTTTTAGAGTTTTTCGAGTACAATTTGTACAAACCACTGCTTTCATGTGGGTTTTGTTTGGCACAAGCGGGATCTCCAAGCGGGATCTCCAAAGGTTTGCGATGAGTCATCCATGATCAAGCCTTTTTCCGGGATAGTTGTTTGGTGGTTGTTGTTGTTGTTGCTGCTGCTGCTGCTGTTGTTGTTTATTTTGAAATGTACTAAGAACAAAACATCAACATCAATGTAAACAAGAACACGATTCACGAAACTATCATGGCCAAAACATAGCCATATCGGGAAGCATGTAAAGATTGCCTTGAACCCTTTCGCATGAGCGAATACCGAAGCCCAACTTTGAAAATCAAACAGGTCGCCAGAGGCCGTTGAATGTACAAGGGTTACGAGCCCAACGCTCTTGTGCAGCGACCGACTCTGAAAAGGCCATGTTCGGGACAGAGGTTGCTGGCTCCCATGGCACAACGACCGGAAGATGAAAGCGAAGTGAGCCGAAAACCGTTTTTGGTCGGAGGCGAAGCGACCTTGAGGTGACGGACGCAGAGCAGCGAGCTGGGATGTGAGAAGGATGATTCTGCTGATGGCACAGCAGAACGCCTTGCTGGTTGCAGAGGTTGGAGGCCTAGGGCCTAGAGTCAGACGAGGGCTTCGGCTTCGACTTCTGTGTTCGGGCAGGCGAATGCAGGACTACTTGGACTTCCCTCGCAAGAACAAGGAGGTTTTTTGGCAGTGATGGACCGGCCGCAACCTGGAGTTGGGACCGGCGGGCAGTCAAGCCAGTTGTGATTGGCTGCGGGTGGGCTGATGGAAGCTGATCCGTTGGTGGTCTTCAAGGTGAGTCATTCCGGCTTTCTGAACCACATGATCGCGGACGTTGATGACGAAGAGAAGAAGATGCGCACAGATTTTGCACTTGCTTGGACTCGTCTTCCAGCAAGAGAGCTTGAACGGAATGAAATGGGCCCACTGGTGGAAAAGATTGGCTGACCATCGGTGCACACGTGCGACCTGTGCCGACTTGGTGGTCGAGAATATTGTAAGTTTTGTGAGGGCAAAAGAATTGACGAAAACGGAATTGCTCCTTGCACTTACTACAGAAGGAGGGCTCAGTGAGAAGGCCACCCGGTTGAGATCCGTGGTGGAGCCAGAGAAGCTGCCTGAACTGACGGTATGAGGAGTTGGACAATTGACAGGGACTTTGGAGTTGGGAAGATCCAGGCGCGGCCGCGGTGGTTGATGATGCAATATCCACCAGAAACATCTTGTGTGAAATTGACGAGAATGACTTTTCAGCTCGACGCGGCGCCAAACATGAGGATTGTCTGGAGGGTTGTTGTGAAAATGCGTTCCACAGAGCTGGAGCTGTGAAGGTGAAGGCGCAGCAGGGTCAGGACGGATGGAAGCCGCAAGGGGCAAGCCGAGTTGCGCTGCAATTGTGGCCACCGCAATGCGCTCGTCGGAAGGACGTGGGCAAGGCCAACGAGGGAACTTGAGGAAGGACTCTCCAGCGAAGATGGAGAGAATGATGGAAGATATGGAAGGAAACCTGAGGGAAAGAAGGTCGAGAGTACGGAGCTTCTCACAATGATGGGTATGAGGCAGCTTGGAGAAGAAGCTTAGATCTGGGAGCTGTATGACCCGTAATCACGAGCGCTAGCACATCGCTGACGTTTTAGCCGAGGAGTTGGGGAACTATCAATGACAACAAGAGAGTTCCCTTAGTCTTTCTCTTTCTATGTATTTTCCCTTGCCCTTCTTGGATGCTGGGCTGGGATGATTCTGCTTTGTTTGCCTTTGCCTCCCTTTGACTGGCTTGGTTCTTCTCACCATCGGGAATGAATCGGTTACCTGTATGCTTTTGGCTCACTGGGGTTGGGCAGTGCAAGACGACTTGGCAAAAACGTCAAACTCTTGTTGTTTGTCGGCGCTGGTGTAATTCGCGCATTGAGCCGAAGCGTTAATTAAGGCATTTACCACGCCAACGCTAAGCCATTCTGAGGTGGTGCCACCCTCTAAAGCAGTTCTTTTGAGATCAATTTTCTAGCTCTTGCGTCTTGAAGGACTCCCGGAGGGACGGACCATGGAGTAGATGTTGGAGGTCAGTTGTAGAAGTGACTGTGAAGATAGGAAATTGCAAGATTAGGATGAGGTTTGACACTATCCAAAATACTTGGGGCCCCTAGTGGGGCCCTTCACCTCTACAATTAATGTAGCTCTTTGAAGTTTGCTCGCTTGACAGACCGTCAACCGGCACGGTGTATATTGAATTGAGTGGACCTGACAGTCTGGCAGCAGCATTAGAACACTAAAATACATAACACCCACGAAGTCAGCTTCAGTTTGGCAATTAAACGGGGATCGGCATCTCGACAGAGGCTGATCACTCATGTGCTCATGTGCTATCATATTTTTATGTTAATGCAAATGGCACCGTTCCCAGTTTTTGACAACCCCCAAAAAGTTACCAATTGTGACATGTGGGGAGTGGTGCATTTGATAGCGCAGCAACCAAAGCACAACGCATATACACAGTGCATGTGCAACCATGTATCTGACGCGATTAGGCCCAAAGACTGACATTGGCAATTTGTTGCGCGCTTTGTGGCTAACACTTACTCACGCACAGCCACCTCATGCAACATGCAATCGTGGTGTGCCGACAGCTTTGACTGAAACCTTTTTTGCGCCTGGGGTTTGCAGGCTTGCAGCCATATTTTCCCAAACCGGGTTTTTCGGTTTAATGGCTGAGCTAATAAAAGGAGTCTCGGCCTTCCACACGCAGGAACGAAAGTAGTGTTGTCACGCAAAAGCTGCATGATTTGCCACTAGAGTTGGTTTAGATTGCCCACTGTTGAAAGCGCTTGACAAACAAAACTATTTTGATATGACTTCAAACATAGCAGCACCGCCTTCCAAAACCCATGTGTTTGGCGAGCAACCACCAACTTCGCCTCACCCATGATGAGACTGCCGGACTGTCATGCAGCCCTCGGCGCCAAGACAGGCGCCTAGAGTGTTAGAGCAACGCACGGCAGGGTCTTAGGGTTTGTCTCACGCAAGCCAATATATAGGATTCTTTGCAATCCCCACAGAGAAAACCTGGATTTCATTGCATTGAATCGGCCCATAGACAACCAACAGGTTGTTTAACCATCTGAATTTCAGACTTGTTTGGAGAATCTAGGCACAGACACAGAAATGAACCGGCAAACCAGCTTTCGAAAAGAATTAAACCCTACTGGAGAAAACCAGGAACGATGTTTGGGCATCAGCCTGACTCACGACCACCACCAACATCCAGAACTCGACTCGGCTGCAAGTGATATCACTTGCTAACTTGTGCAGGGTGATTTTGGTTGTCTTTCTAACTTGTTCAGTGTGATTCGGGGGTCCAGTTTAGATGTGGTTGCATAGGCACATGTGCAGGCCCGCTCTCGTCGACATGCTACATGGAGCCAGAGTCAGCCCAGCGTTGCATTCTTCGATTCGTCAGGCACGACCTTTTGGTCATTGAGTTGAATTCAAGATCAGTCTCCAACGTATGTTGGTCTGAATTGCAAAGATTGTTTAAAGCCTATTGTCACCATTTATATAGCAAAGGCTGGCTTTGGACAATAGCTGCAAGGCATCAGTAGAAAAGTTGGTCTTCTTACAAAGGCTGTCATCATTTCCTTGTACCACTGCACCACAGCAGAGAATCCAAAGCAGGATGACAGTGTTGCCGCTTTTTGTAGACCACGGTTCACTTCTTTGTAGATCGTTTTCTCAAACTCTTGAGATGGCCTCACTTCCGTTTCATTCACAATTTTTGATGTTCAGACAAATAGAATGTCAAATTCATGTTTAACCTTTGCGAAGGTGACTGCCAAAGCTCTAGTTCAAGCTCAAAGGAGGAAGATTCGGATGATTCTGGACTTGCTGTGCAGAAGGCTCCCAGCTGCTACAATCTGTCCATTTATCTAGCTATTTCTCTGTAGTGTTGGGCTGTGCGCTTTCTTTTGCTGCTCTTCATCAAGGCCAGAAGCCTTCCAAACCTGAACCGGCGATTGCCAAAGCGCACTGACAGCAGTGACACCACTGACGGCAAAGATGGCTATCCAAGCATAGACAGCAACCTGCAAAAGGCGCGGTCTGTTGTGTTCACTGCATTTTTTCTGCCTCATTGTCATTCGTTCAGAGATGTAAAGTTTACTACCTATATAGGTGGCGAGTCTCAGAGAAGAAGCAGCTGGACTCTGAGACTATGAATCAAGTGGTCGATGCAGCTTCAAATCCTGACAACAATGTTCGCCAAGGCGCGAGGATATCAACGAAAAGTTGATCGACGGCGTTCGCAAACCTTTAAATCCATCACCGTCCCAGAGGAGGTCTTGCAGGTAGCCGTGGATGACGAGTACCAACTCCCAGAGGATGATGACTTCGACGAGTATGGAGAGCCCCTTTTCGCAACTACTGGTGTCATTGTGCAGCAGTTTTTTCATTGCACGTCTATCAGTATCAGCTCATCAGCTCGTGGGACATCATGTCTGAAAGATTCTGGAAGAAACTAAGTTCTGAACGACCTTCAGGGGCTGATAGGTCAAGGCGAAGTTGAGAGAAGAGAACTGAAAAGGAATGTTTATGAATGTTTCAATAGTGGAAGTGAACTCGCCGGGACAAACTCGCAGTGTTGGAGTTCAAACTCGCAGTTGTCAGGCGGAAAGCTGGACAGCTCTCTACGCTCTTGACTGCACGAAGCACAAGAGTGCATCACATCATGGCATTCCTTTGAAATGATACTGTTAGTGCCCAGCACACTGAAAAGCGAGCAAAGAGTTGAAAGGTCAGCAAAGGTGCAAAAGAAAGCTCCCTTGCTTTAAGCAAGTGCAAAGCCGAAGCCAAGCCTGAGGTTGATATTCATACAGCCACTGTTGCTGCTAACAAAGAAGCGAAGGCCGGGCATCAGAGTCAAGCAAAGAGCAGAGTGAGGATGTCGCAGACTTCTTGATTTTCTGGGACTCGTGTACAAAGGTCATGGCCTACTGTACTACTGCACTACTTTTCCCAAGCTAGCTGACAGATGCCGAAAGCATCCGAAAGCTATATATATAGGGGTTCTTACTTCTACAACCAGACCCTGAGTGCACCTTTTTGTCAACACTTGGAAGCTTGATCAGAGAAGGCCCCCTCCACAACTTTGGATGGAACCGAAGGAACCCGGAAACCCTGTTCGTTGCCTTGTCGAGCCCTGAAGCACTCTGGAGCCAGTTTTCAACGTTCCGCCTGGAATGGAGCCACACTCTGATACAAATTCTCATACCAACTTTTTGCAATTTTTGTCTCCAGCTCTGCTTTGCATTCGGATCATTTGGCAGCCGTAAGAGACCGGGCGATCTCAAATGCCAAGCTGAACACGTGTGTGTGTGTGTGTGTGTGTGGTTGTCACGTCCTGTTCCTAAGGACCTTCGACCGTACTGCACAAACATCAACTAATTAGTTAGTTTCTTATGCATTGTGATTTCAACATTTTACAGACCAGCAGGGGGCTCTCGGAGCCTGCATGAGACGAGAGCCAACGAAGACGCTCACGCAGTGCTTGTGTAAACGTACCTGCCGTTGACCGCGCCTGGGCATATAAGTGCAGCTGGTGGGTCTCACGCTATTGGTCCCTGTTTTACATCTTGCACCTGATGTGAGCTTTGTTGAAACATTTCTGTTCTTCGGGCCCTTTCGCTTTCGGTTCCATCAGCCAAGGTCTAACTTTCAGCAACGTACTGTGCTAACCCCAGGGGAAATTCCAAACTGACACAGCACCGCGGTGCACTGTGTGAACCCAACTTTGGGCGCTGTCTCATAGACCCTTCAAGGAGGATTTTCATCAGATCTTCTCGTCTTGCATTCTTCTTCACTGATCAGCTGCCTGGTCGAGATCGCTGACGTTATGCTGCAGGGCCTACTATATATACTCAAGAATGTCATGACACGCTGCTAATGTAATGACATGTGTTCCAACTTTGTATTTTCAATGCGAGCTTTTCAGGCACCTGCAACGGTGCCACGCCAGCCTTCAATCACAGCTCGAAGTCAACACTAGCCGTCTCACCCACTGCCGTCGTTCTTTTCCGCTCACTGCTTTGCCATATGGAATGCCACCTCTGGCCACTTCACCGCAGACTATGCCAATGCCATACATTGCTCATCCACCAACTTCCCACATGGTCTACCTATCCCTCCACCAGCGCATCCACAACCATATCCATATCCCAGTCTACGTGCCACCACCGCAGACACATATGTCACCCAGCAATGGCATATCCACCGCCGCCAGTCCAAGGCAGCCGCCCAACATATCCTCCCATGGCTCACTCCCACCATTGGCGCGTGATACCACAGCCTGGACCTCCACCAGCAGGTCAGCTTGCAACCCCCTCCACCGCTGCGCGCCATGCCCCCACTTCGGCGCCGTCAATTTTTTGGGTCTTGTAACAATTCTGCGGCGAATTCAGTTGCGCGCATATTGGCTTGACTTTGCGAGTTTCTCTCATCCATGGCCATGGCGTGTCATTAGAACCTAGATTTGCAAGTGTGTTATATCATTTGGCATGGCTCCGACCGCAGTTTTTCACTCATCCCTTTGCGCTTCGCAGCCATGTCCAGCAGCTCCACAATCTCGCGCTCCCAAGTTCCTCCGCTTCTTCAACAAGCTTCCGACCACCTCCGCCAAGCCTCGCGTGCTCTCAATGCAATCTATCATATCTTCACTGAACCACCACCACCACCACCGCCACCGCCACCGCCACCGCCACCCCCACCGCCGCCACCGCCGCCGCCGCCCCCCCCCCCCCCCCCACCGCCACCCCCCCCCCCCCCCCCCCCCCCCCCCCCACCCCCCCCCTTCCTAAACTGAAAAACCCCAAATAAAAAACCACCCCCCCCCCCCCCACATGGAAGGTCAACAATGTCAAGAAGGTATGAGAAAACACTCATGAGGTCCACTCCCCCCTGAATTATCGGCTCAGGGAGCCATCGTAGTCGCAGTCGTCGTCGTGGAGGTGGAAGTGAGGCTACGTCGAAGCGATGGTGGCGGCGAACGCGCCTGGCTGGAGCGGGGAGGTTGAGGTTGTCGAGATTGGTGGAGGTCAGCCGCGCTGTCCGAACAAAGGCGTAGCGGCGCGGTCCTGTCAAGTGGACATCCGCTGGTGCAGAGGATGGGTGGGGCGAATGAACAGCATGGTGGACGGGGGGATCAATTGCGCTGTATGCGGTGTACTGTAAAAAGGTGGCTGCCACGGAGCAAGCGGCGACGGACCTGACTGAGTAAGGTCAAGCAGCGCGTGCCTGAATTGAACTGGATGAGGGAGCACGCACTGGTGCGCTGCGAAAGATTCATGGCTTCGATCAGGCTTGTGAGGGATGGGGTGTAATTGAGTGGCATAGATCCAGCGCGGCCGGAGTTCTGGGTTGTAGGCGGCGGTGGCCTTGCTACTGCCGGGAGGGCGTAAGGCGCAAACTGTGGAGTATCTCTGGCGCAATCATTGGGGAGATTCATCGATGCCCGGCGCGGAGGCCATGATCTCGCTGGCAGAGCCAAACATTGGTTGAATGAACGCGTCAGCAGTAAAAGTGGATCCCTCTCTCGTAATCTCATCAGTAATGACAATGATAAGAGTGCGTTGCAGTGCAAGAAAAGCCGCATTGGAGAAGTGTAAAGCGCTCGGTAGTAGGTAGTAGGTAGTAGGTAGCAGGTAGTAGGCAGTAGGTAGTAGGTAAAGGTAGTAGGTAGTAGGTAGTAGGCAGTAGGTAGTAGGTAGTAGGTAGTAGGTAGTGGTAGTGGTAGTAGTCGTAGTAGTAGTGGTGTGGTAGTAATAATAATAGTAGTAGGAGCAGCAGCGGCAGTAGTAGTGGTAGTGGTAGTCGCAGTAGCAGCAGCAGTAGTGGTAGTAGTAGTCACAACAAGTTTAAACAAGCGCAGAGAAAAGGCCAGGGACACAGGATCAAATTTATAGGGGTAGTAGTGCAGATTATTGATGGGGGACCGGCCCTTGTGAGGGGTACCCTTTGTGAGCTTGTCAAATGATTGTTTTTAACTTTTTTAATGCGGCCACTCATAGGCCCTGAGCCCTAGACATTTTTAAGGATTTCATCAAACACGTAGTAGGTAGTAGGTAGTAGGTGGTAGGTGGTGATGGTGGTGGTGGTGGTGGTAGTAGCGGTAGCAGTAGCAGTAGCAGTAGCAGTAGCAGTAGCAGTAACAGCAGCAGCAGCAGCAATAGCTAGTAGCAGTAGCAGTAGTAGCAGTAGTGTAGCAGTAGTGTAGCAGTAGCAGTAGAAGTAGCAGTAGCAGCAGCAGCAGCAGCAGTAGGAGTAGGAGTAGGAGTAGTAGTAGTAGTAGTAGTGGTAGTAGTAGCAGTAAGTAGTAGTAGTAGTAAGTAGTAGTAAGTAGTAGTAGTAGTAGTAGTAGTAGTAGTAGTAGTAGTAGTAGTAATACGAAAAATTGACCTGGTTGTGGGCTCGGATTAACTGGGGGGGATTGTTGGTAGAAAACTAGACCATAGGGGGGAAATCAACAGCCAATAATGCTTTTTAATTTTTGGCAATTTCCGGCGGCTTTACTGATCTCTCACCATGGATCCGTACTGGTACTATTAATCCACAAGCGCACAGACTACAACCTCTGGGTACTATACCCCACAGCCACCAGCTATGGCCCCATGAGCCACGCCATTGCACTACCTTGCATCCCTATACCACCACCGCCACCAGCAACGCTCCTCACAAGCCGCACCCCCCACAACACCCACGCCAGATTCCCACCGCCGCCCGCTCCTGCAACCGCGTCGCCAGTTCACACAGGCACACGCAGCGGCGCTCCACCGCCACCGCCTGCACTTTGTACCACTCCTCCACCGGCCACCACGCCCCGCGGCGATCCCATTACACTGCTGCGACCCGTTAGCGGCCGAAGTATTCCATTTCCAACGCCACCCATTCCAGACGCTTGGCGCCAAACTGAGCAGCGTCGGGATGTGAATGTCGTCGCAAAAGCAGCATGTCTTCAAATTCTTCCAACCAACTGCCTGGAGACGCAAGCAGGCGTCCATTTTTACGTCCAAAAGACAAACTCGCGAGTGGAAAATCAGCCTGGTTGCGTGCGATGCTCGCAGACTCAGGGTGCGTCGATTTCGGCTTTTTGTGTGTGTGTGTGTGTCGCGTCCTGTTCGTAAGGACTTCTGACCGTACCACACAAACTTTAATTGATTAGTTTCTTACGCATTGTGATTTCAACATTTTACAGACCAGCAGGGGGCTCTCGGATCCTGCGTGAGACGAGGGCCAACGAAGATGCTCGCGCAGTGCTTGTGTAAACGTACCTGCTAGATCTGTCTTGAGCTTTGTTGAAACATTTTCTGTTCTTCGGACCCTTTCGCCTTTCGGTTCCATCAGCCAAGGTCTAACTTTCAGTAACGTACTGTGCCAACTTCACGGGAAATTCCAAACTGACACACCTCTTGCGAGCATGGATCTAAGTGTGTGTGTGTGTATGTGTGTGTCTTCCTTTGAATCAAGAACGTGCACGCCATGAATGACGTGTGACATTGAGATGAGTCGCATTTGCGTGGCAAGGAAGAAACAAACAGATTCTTCGAGCCGGGCCACGGAGCACCGGCTCCCAAACATCCAGCAGAGTCGGGAGACAGGACTGAACGCTTTGTTAACCAATTTTTGTATGAGTCAGTCAGCATTGTTATTTTGTTAATATGAGCTATTTGTATTAAGCGCGCACAATAACGGTGATG